CAGCCACCACTGCCACCACCTTGCCATCACCCTGCCACCAATGTTCCCTACCTAGAAATTTCATAAAATTAAGTTAAAAGCTCCACATCTTGGGAATCCTCACAACGGCTGAAACTTATTGACCGTATTTCTCCAGATGAGCAGTACCAACCCTGTGATAAAACCTCTCCATCAGCACACCTGCCTGGGGAGACAAGGCTGTTTACACCAAATATGAGCAGAAAACAAGGGTTTGCTTTGTCCCCAGACCAGGGCTGAAGCTCTACTGGGAACTTTATTTTATTGTCATGCTAAGCTTGAGATGACAAATATTTTGAAGCAGCTGAAAGGTGTTTATTTTTGAGCTTGTTCAGCTTGTTTACAACCTGTTTACAAACCCGGGCATTTATCTTTGGGGCTGTTTACCTCTCCCCAGGCAGTGGCTAGAGTTTGATGCACACCTAAATAAACCCCCGTTGAGGAGTCCAGCCATCCCTCCCAGTGCCTTCCTGCCAGCTGCGTGCCGTGGCGGTTTGCTGTTTTGACAGAGTTATGCAAATGCTCTTGTCTTCGCAAGTGCGCTTGATTGCTCAGGTTGTGTTTTCGACCACGCCAGCCTCAAACATTTATTTATTTCATTTAATTCTCTTTCAATTGGAGGGCGAGAAACCTTGGCCTTGGGCACTGTGGCTGTCCCCATCTGGGGCTTTGACCCAGGGCTGCCTGTGGGGTGTTTCATAGTATTTAATAATTCTAAACCTATAGTGTATAATTTATATCCCACATTTTATTAAATCATAACCTGTATTTTATTTCCCTAACTGGGGGAAGTTTGCTCTGTGTTGTGGGAGTCTGGAGGTGGCCCTGTGCGTGCCGTGGCAGGTTGGACTGCTGGACAAGCCCAGCTAAAGGGCTGCCTGGCAGGAGGCAGAGGCTGATTATTTTAACTCAGTTAATGAGAGAGGATTTGGGGTGACCTGGCAGTGGGGTGGCAGCAGGAGGCCAGGACTGGTCCTCCTGTGGCAGTGGCACAGAGGGACAAGGCCATGAGCTTGAGCAGTACCAGGGTGAGCCCTGGCCCCGAACCCTTTTTGAGGGGTCAGCACTGCCCAGCCTAGGGGCCTGGATGCACTGGGGATCACTGCGGGGGGGAAGTGTGCGTGCATGTGTGTGTTTGTGCAACTGTGTGTGTGCCCATGCTTGCAAGTGTGTGCCCATGCAGCAGCTGGGACACCCCACATTGGGCAGGGACCACTCTGCCGAGTGAGATCCCGCTGGGGAGAGCCCTACCAGGGACCCTCCAGGAGACAGGAGGTGTCACCCTGGGCTGGGGACGTGCTCCCTGGCACGAACATGCAGCCCCACCAGCCTCGGCACCAGCCCCCCGGGGGGTCCCTCGTCCCCCACCACCATCCACACTGCCAGTTTTGGGCAGCTTCAGGCTGCCCCAAAACCTGTCCCCCCGCTGCACTGGGTGACAGCCTGGTGAGGTGACAGCCTGGCAAGGCAGAGGCAAAGCCCACCGCAGTGAAGAGCTGGTGGCCATCTCAGGGCTGAGCTGACTCGGGGCTCGTCTGCGTGGCACCCGCTCACCTTCACACGTCAGCACCCACTGGAGATGGTTTCGCTTCCTTTTTTCAGGCCCCCACTGGAGATGGTTTCGCTTCCTTTTTTCAGGCCCCCTGTATAGCCCGGAGCAGGTGATCTGGGCGGTTTCTCCCAGGTTCACTGACACCGAGGGTGGCTGAGTCAGCGCTGCCTGGACCAGGGAACCTGCAGAGGGAGAGGAGAGAGGGCAGAAGATGGAGGTCAGCCAGTGTTCCGCAGGCACAGCCCTGCCCAGGCAGCGGGACGGAGCCCCTGTGCCCAAGGGCCACGGCCAGGCGCTGAGGAGGGCCAGGGCTGGCGTGGCACAGCCTGGGCTCTGCATAGCCTTCCCCCAGACCCTTCAGAGAAGCTACGTGAGTGGGGGGGGTTCGGGATGGGGTGCAGGAGCCACCAGCTGCCCCTCCGGGTGCTCAGGGGTGGCAGCCCCTCGGCTCAGGCAGGGCAGGGGCCATCAGGTATCACCCAAGCTTGGCACAGCCACAGAGCCAAAGCGGGGGCACTCCTGCTGCTGTCCCAT